TTGCATTGTATTCACCCAAGTCATTATTCTATCATAGTTCACAAAATGCATCAGATAACAAAGAAAAATATGTTTCAAACTAATACCCTGAAGTTAGTATTTGTCTTTGTTTTGTCTATTGGTTGAAGTAATGCAATCCATTCAAGTTTCAATTGCAGAAGAAGAAATAGTTTACTTTCGCAACACGAAACTTAAAATCGCAACGCGAAACCAAAATCGCAACGCGAAATGAAAATCGCAACGACAGAATCGCAATGCGAAATGAAAATCGCAACGAAAGAATCGCAACGCGAAATGAAAATCGCAATGCGATTTTGGTTTCGCGTTGCGATCTTGTCGTTGCGATTTTGGTTTCGCGTTGCGATTCTGTCGTTGCGATTTTCATTTCGCGTTGCGATTTTGGTTTCGCGTTGCGATTTTAAGTTTCGTGTTGCGAAAGTAAACTATTTCTTCTTCTGCAAATTGAAACTTGAATGGATTGCATTACTTCAACCAAAAGACAAAACAAAGACAAATACTATTTCACAGTGTTAAAGAATACAAAGTTTAGCAGAATTGGCAGCAACCGAACAAATTTACTTTCAACCAAAAGAAACAAAGACAAATACTATTTCACAGTGTTAAAGAATACACAGTTTAGCAGAATTGGCAGCAACCGAACAAATTTACTTTCAACCAAAAGACAAAACAAAGACAAATACTATTTCACAGTGTTAAAGAATACACAGTTTAGCAGAATTGGCAGCAACCGAACAATTTACTTTCAACCAAAAGACAAAACAAAGACAAATACTATTTCACAGTGTTAAAGAATACACAGTTTAGCAGAATTGGCAGCAACCGAACAAATTTACTTTCAACCAAAAGACAAAAACAAAGACAAATACTATTTCACAGTGTTAAAGAATACACAGTTTAGCAGAATTGGCAGCAACCGAATAAATTACTAAGCAATCTAAGTGAAATGGCTAATCTAAGTGAAATTACGAGTAAATTTATCATTAAGTTAAATATGGAAAATCTTAAACTTACCTCGTTGCGTAGAGTATGAACCTCATTCTGCAACAATACTCATCTCACGTAGAGCGGCAACCTCACCACGTAAAGTTGACACCTCCACACGCCATGCACCATCGTTATCGCGTAGAGTACCGATCTCCTCACGCAAGGCATTGACCTCATCACGTAACTCCCTTGACTCATCCCGTTGAGGTGGAGGTGGAGAACAGGGAGATAGGAGTCGTGGCATCTTTGCCGGTCGCCTATCATGAGGTGATGGTGGAGAAGAGGCTCGATGATGTGACGGGATAGGTGATGGCTCTCGTTCTAGAGGTGTATAGTCGGGTCTATCGGGTGATGGCTCTAGGTGAGGTGATGGCTCTCGAATTGGAGGAAGTGGATGCTGCTCATCATCCGTGCCATCAAAAAAACTCTGACTAGCTTGCCACCAATCAGTGGCAAGCTTCCTCCGTGGGTGTCAGTCTTTGTAATGGAATGTTGGCCTCCTAAATATAAAACTCAAACAAAGTTAAACGTCTACTATTAATAACTTGTTTATATATATGAAAGTATTTGTGTTAACTTACATTATTTATTGTCGCATATGGTATTAAGTCTTCCCAATCCAACAGAGTTTTCCTCTTCCAGGAAATAGCCCTGGGAATATCATTTGACGTTTTTATTGCATATGTACGCATGCTGGGGAAAGCCTCGAATATCCAAATCTACAAACAATATAATAACAAAATTAGTAATTGTTAAATAATTAATTATAATTTTAGAACATTATATAGAAATTCTTACCTTAAAGGCCCAAACAAAGCCTGACAAAGTGTATTTGGACCCATCGCCCGCAAACTTTTGCGGTCATCAAAGGCAGACGACAACTTAGTCCAGGTAGCTTTCCATATATACGAACCCCACGGAAACAGATTCCATGCATTCAGGTCCTCTACCAATATTATTAGCTCCCGATGAATAGGTTGTCTGGCCTCTCTGCCTAAAAAGCCGGCATACACAAGTAGTAGAAGGCATACTCGGACAACATCGACGTCATCCATCCGAGTGAAACCAGCTTTCTTATTAAACAATTTCTTCAGGTCGTCGACATGTAGGTTCGGCTTCTCCATTGACTCATCCGGAAAAACCCGGGATAACCATGATGGGCGGGCGATATGACGAGTGTACCGGCCTACATCATCGTGTCCGAATCGTAGACCAGTGATTAAGCAGAACTCCTTCCGCCCAAAGCAAGTATACGCTGGTGGAAAATGAAACCATATCTCTTCCTCACCACGTTGTATACTGTCGGGTAGATTGATGTCATGGTCTGAAGCCACAAATGGGTCAAATTAGCATCTCCACCCGGATGCTGTACTCTCAGCCATGGCCCGAAGCAGGTTTCCTCAAACAATTGTCTTTGAGCAGGTGAAAGCTTCGAAGCAATTGTAGTGGCCAGGCTGACTTTATTTCTCAAGGTCAATTGAGCCGAAAAAAATTTCTACAAAAACAATAAACATACCAAGTTAGATATACCAAAAACTACACTGTGAAGATATACCAAAAACAATAAACATAAAAAGTAGTAGTTTATTCTTGAAACTAAAATTTGCAACACTGTTTTGTCTTTTGGTTGAAATGAAAATCGCAACGAGAGAATCGCAACGCGAAATGACAATCGCAACGCGAAATGAAATCTAAGTGAAATGGTTAATCTATTATTGAAATGACCAGTAAACTTATCATCAGTTTCAATATGAAAAACCTACAATAATGCAAACATTTCAAAATAAAAATAATTAAAAAAACTAACCCTCGGAGGTTGATTTTCCATTTCTGAATATTGTGAGGGATTTCTGACCGTGAATGGTTGTGAGGGATTTCGCCGGAGATGGGGACGAAAATCTTCGGAGATGGAGACGGATTTCTTCGCCGTAGAGAGTGAGAGATGTGGAGATGGGACTGAGTTGTGATTTTAGGTTTTAGGTTATGAGTTGCGATTACGGGATTTTGTCTTAATATTCGTTTTTGTAATTTGAAAATAAAATACGCGTAGCGATTATAATGGCGCTTTAAATATCGCGTTGCGATTTACGGATACGCGTTGCGATTTTATGTATTATCGTTGCGATTTACCGATACGCGTTGCGATATACGGATACGCATTGCGATTTACCCATACGCGTTGCGATTTACGGATACACGTTGCGATTTACGGATACGCATTGCGATTTATGTGTTCGCGTTGCGATTTTCATATTCGCGTTGCGATTTTGGAAAATCGCAACGCGAATATGAAAATCGCATTGCGATTTTCAAGAATCGCGTTGCGATTTTGGACACTGATTTGCGATTCTGGGGATCGCGTTGCGATTTTTATTTCGCGTTGCGATTTTGTTGGTCATTTTGGCAAATCCAAAAAAAGTTGGTTAAAATCGTATATTATAACTTTTTTTTGGTCACTGAGGCGATTTTCTCAATTAAATAATCAATAAAAATACATAAAATAGAACGGAATTTAAAATCACCCCTCAATCTATTCCCGATTAGATTCCAATTAATTCATATTTGGAATTTTTATTTATTTACATTACATTGAGAAAATAATTACCATACTCCCAAAGAAACTGTTTAGGCCTCTTGTCACTTTATTAATTTGGTCAATGCATTTCATATCTCCGACCAACAATAAAGTCCTTCGATGCTCATGAACAAAATCTTCTTAATTTATTGATTTATTTCTAAGGATTGTGACTTAGAGGTGGCAAAATGAACTGGGACCAAAACCCATTTATAAGCTCGCTTATTTCAAGAAAAACATATTTTAAAAATAATTTCCGTAAAATGAATTACACTTCATGTAAAAACAATTTCTGAATATTATTTTACAGTGTTTGAATGACATTATGTAAATCATTTTCCACTAGTTGATAGTTTTTTTAGAATTATCTAGTATAATCAAATATAATAAATAATATTATTTATTAGAAAATTAATAATATTATTTTTATTATTTATGTCAATATTATTATTAAAATGTTATTTTTATAATTTTATAAATAAAAATATTAAGACTAATATATTTTATTAAATAAAAATATTATAAACTATTAATTATTTATTAAAATAAAAATATTATATTATTAATTATATTAATTACCTATTAAAATTAAAATATTACTCTCAACGTTCAATTAAATGTCTCTTTTGATTTTTAAATTGGTCTCATTCAAAATGTCTTATTAGAAAAGTCAACAAACAACATTATTTATATTTTCTATTTTACCCTTACATGTCCCATTGTTTTACACCAATCAAAATAAATCTATCAAATATATCAATTACTTTTTATTGTCAAATGTATATCCTAAAACTATGTGTATAATCAAAGGGACACAAATTATGGGACATAAGAAGTATATTATAATTTGAAAATTATTAATAAATATATTTTAAATATTTTATAATTTTATAATATTATTTTATAAAATTAATATATATATATAATTGATTTTATTAATAATTTACTATCATTTATACAAAGTACATCCCTTAAAAAAATATAATATCATATATTGTTTAATATAATTGAATATATTATTACAACACTGAAAAATATAATACTATATTATTAAAATATTAATAATTATATTTTAATAATTGATATTTTATTAAAATAGTAATAAAATAATATATTAATATTAAATATATAAAATAATAATATTTTAAATATTTATACTTTAAAGTGAAAAATTTTAAAAATGATTTACGAAAAATTAAATTTGTAAATCATTTTCAAAAAATATAAAGAAAATTCTGTTGACCAGAAAAATGAATTATATTGACAATATGTTTTTCATCAATCAAACACAAAAATGAGAAAAACGTTTCAAAAAATCAATTACAATGAAACATATAGAATTTAATATGGATTCGATTGCCACATCTAATAGTATAGAAAAAGAGCATTTGAAAAAGGATAAGGTTGGAAGAAGCATCGATAAACAGCCTAACACATTTGCATCATTCATGCACATAATTTCAATCAAGGATATCAGAAAGTAGTGCTCTAACTAACAATATAGACAGATCAATACTGACCGTTCTAAATTTTTAACTAAAGTGCTGCCATAAGTTAGAACCACATAAATACAGTACACTTTTGTTCCTTATTGATCATGCAGCTAAGGAGGAGGAATCCATCATTAGCTATATAAACCAGCTTGCCTCCTTCACTACATTCCTTTGCCACAGAACCTTCTATTCGATAATACGGGATCTTTCGTTCATGGTTCTGGTTTGGCTTTTCATTTTGTTTACATATGAAGAACCGAAACTGCTCTAGACTACCATCACAGCTTTGGAATAGCTATTCAAAAGAAGAAAAATTTAATGATACCTCTTACTGTACCCCCCTCCTTTCCTCCTCTACGTCGTCAGATTAGCTATTTCCTTTCCGTCTCTCGCATCCCAATAAAATAATTATCTACCACTGCAATGATCGAACTCTACGGAGCACATGTGGTGGTCTTCGCAGCTCTACAACTGGAACCACCTTCTCCATTAGCTGCAGTACAAATCAACATGATAAGCACTCTTTTAGGAGCTTAATAGGCATCCGTAATTGTATTTCTCACTTGGGTATTGTTTGAGAAATAAAACTACTTAAGCCAATTTATGTATGAGGTTAAAATACAGGTTATGTACCTCATATTACACCGACAGGATCACAAAATTCCTCAACCAGAAATAATTACACATATCTACATATTTAAATCAAATTATGTTACTTGTTCGAAATGAAAAAAAAAAATAAGAGGAGAATTTCACAGTTCTTTACTTTACTATTAACAACATAATACTGTATATTTAATGCAGTGGGTTATTCTTAAAACCTTCCTACTTTAATTTCCCATTACCAGAGTGTGTCAACCATACTTAATATCAAACTATTTCTTCTTTTTTATCAATCCCATAGAATCTGATTAACCATTACTCTAAATGCATAGAAGCAGCAATTTATTACCTGCTTAAACCTTTCCTTAGTTCTCTCAGCCTGCAAGCAAAAACAATTGCAATTAGAGATGAAAACATATACAATAAAAATCTAGTGAAGTGACGTTGCAATGAATTAACACGGAAGTTAGCATGGGCAAATAGAAAACACAAAATAAAACTAATTATGAGCATTAGCTTACTCTACAATATAGTCAGGACCGGTCCTGACATTTTAAGAGGCCTAGGCCAGGAGGTTATGACAAGCAGATAAGTGGGGGCCCACACTTAGTTTCCTTCCAATCATTAAAATGGGCCCATTGGATCACCATATTTTCGAGTTTTTTTAATAAAAAATGATGTTTAAAAATATTTTTTAATTATTGGGGCCCACTAAATTATCATATTTTTGAGTGTTTGAAATATAAAAATACGTTTAAAAATATTTTTTAATTATTAAACTTAACAATATTTTTAAAAATGTGCCCCTTCAAGCTTGGGGCCCTAGGCGGTCGCACCCCTGGCCTATGCCCAGGGCCGGCCCTGAATATAGTACCAAAATTTAGAATACTGTAACTAAGAATCAAAGGATAAAAAGAAAGCTCAAATTCAAGCTGCTAGGAATTGAGATCCAGGACACAAACAAAAACATACATAAAACAAGATAGATAACGATAAAACTTAGTTCCATCCAAGCACTTGATTTAAATCCTCATACATGAGATGAAATAACAAGGACAAGAAATGTTTTGCTCTGGGTAAAATATGATTAATGTAACGTGCATAAGTGCAAGAAATATCATGCATTGAATAAATTTTTCATTTTTTTAAGTGTGGTATATGCATGCAAGTTTGTATGGATGCACCTGTGCAAGATCTTGATAATTGCCCCTAACCACAAACTCAAGTAACTTAAGACAGGGAGAAGTTAGAAGAAATGAAATATATATGACCATCGTAAAGGGAGCCAAAACTTAGCCCTATAAATAAAGCAACAAGTCATTGGCTAAATTGAGTATATGCAAGGTAAAATTGGTAAATCTAGGGAATTCAAATTCAAGCTATCTCCAGCACCAAGTATTAAAGCAGCCTGTACCCACATGCATTTATGGTGAATCTAATCATGTTCAGTTCTTGAAAATGCTAGGCTTCTAAATTTGAGTGCATAAAGGAGTGCAGGATGCACCCAAATACCTCTACAAAAAACCATGGACTATAAACACAACACATTGCAAATAAAGAATATTTTTATAACACATGAAGCTGAAAGAAGACGTTAGACTGCTAAGTGAAGGAACACCACAAAATGAGATTATAACTTACAAGTGGCTTGGGAACTTATAAAGTGAATAATCACCATATCCAATAAAGACCATGGACATAGTGGGCAAGGAAATTAATGTAGAATCCAAGGTAGTACTGTGAAACTTTTGTTGCCAGATGCATCAAGCCACTTAAAAACAGCAACGCTAAAAAATAGTGAGTATAATTATTATTAAATTTTGGAAGTTTGGAAATAAAAGTTGATTAAAACAGAAGCTCCTAGATTGAAAAAAAATCCTTTCAAAGGCAGATAAGGCTAATGTCTCTACTATATGACGTCAAAACTCAATAGCAACTATATTGAGAGCAAGCGGCATACACTGTGTTTGAGATAAAAGAAATTTCCCACATTTAGCAAGTAAATAATAAGGAAATTAATCATTCCAATTATTATTTGAAATCATAACAGGAAATGTTCAAAGCTGAGAACAAATTTCAATACCTTTTCTTTCAACAGCCACTCGTTCTCCTCTTCCAGCTTCACAGCCAATGACTCCAATTCAACTTGGTATGCCTACAATTAAGAGAGCATAGTAAAATACATTTTTTTTTATAAAAAAAGAAACAACAATTTTTTTTTTAAAAAAAGGAAACAATCCATTAACGTCGCCACAATTCAATCAAAAGAATTCAACCAATTTTTAACCTGCTTCCTTTCCCGAGACCGGGCAGCAGATTCCCTGTTCTTAATCATCCTTCTCTGCCTCTGTTGTGCTGCCTTATCCAACGGCTCCATCAAAACCCCTCTTCCTCTCTTCCCTCTCCTTCCACCACCTCCACTTCCAATAATTTCCATCCCGTTCCCCAACCCAACAATTGACCCCTCCATCTTATCCAGCATTTGAAACGCACCAGATCCCACCGGATCAAATGTGCACACTCCACCACTCAACCTATCGGGATGCAACTTAACCTCTGCTGTCGCAACAGCCGCCGTTTCCTCCACGGCACCAGCCTTCGCCAAGAAATCCTCCAAAGTCATCATCTCGTCCGGCGCCTCCTCTTTCATCGAGATCTCTTCCTTCTCGCCGGATACAATCTCCCTCCAGACCTCGTCAACACTTCTCGCCACATTGTTACTATAATCCGGTACAGCTTGAACCTGAGAAGCTTCGGAATTATCCACGACGTTATTCGGAATCGGAGCGTCGATTAGAGTGATCGAAGCGTCAACCAGAGTCGTCTCAGTCGAAGGAGCGGCCGAGTAAACGTTTCGAAGGATGCCGTCGACCGTCATTGTCGAGCTCAATCTGTTGCTATCCTCGTTTTTGTTCTGATCGTTGAAAAGTTGGGGGTTTGTAGAGGAAGAAGTAGTAGAGCGTCGGGAGAGATCCGAATTTCGCAAATTTGAAGTCGATGACGCCATAATCGGCGGCACCTTTCTCTGTTTCACCGATAGATTCTCTCGCGGAAAAATTCAGTTCTCTCCCACTCGAGAGATTATCTAGGGTTTGGGGTTTCTAATTTTTATTTGGGATATTTGAGGATTGTCGATTTTGAACTTGTACATTTTGGGAGTTTTGGGTTTGTTATTCTGTTGGGATCAGGGGGACTAAAGAGCGCGTGCAAGGGCGCGTGAGAGGTGTTTGACTTGGCATTTTGTGAGTTTAGCTTTACTCACCATCCGGTTTTAATATTGGTTTCTAAGACTGTAATGTTTGACCTGAGATTGTGTGTTGCAATTTGATTCGTTCGCTTTTACTTATTTATTTAAGCCAAAATTTTCTATTTTTTCTTTTATCATACTTAGGTTGTGAAGTTTAACATAAGATATTTTGATTCCCTTATTTTTAATTATGTGTATATTTTTAAAATTGTAATCATATTCAAATAATAGTAATAAAATTTAATTTGTTTTTTAATAGATAAAATATAAATTAAATTTTGTTATTAATTTTTTCCTTTGAATCGAAAGAAACTTAACAAATTAGATAAAGATGACACTTTGGAGTGTTGGCTCCTTGATACTTCATCAACAATTAAAATATGAAATAGTTTAACGAGAGGAGTGGCGTAGAGTGTTAATGGAATACTAAAAAAGAGAGAATTTTATTATTCAATTGTTCAGTTGTACAATACAATGTGAGTATCCTTTTTATAGTGCTTGCATACAAGCAGTTAACTCTAACAACTTGTCAACAGCTCTGCAATAACATGCTAACTGACTAACAACCAAACGTCTTCAATACACAACACTCCACACTCTATTTGTAACAAATGGTTATAACAGGCCTTTGACATTGTTGAATGCTAAGATCCTTCAACAAAGCAGTCACCCACGATACATCAGCTGTTGCACCATCTACACTTTTGTATTCAGCTTCCATTGTGGATATGGAAATTGTGCACTGCTTTTTCGAAGACCAAGCAACAAGACAGTTTCTTAAAAATACTCCATACCCAGAAACGGGTCGACAATCAACGATGCTAGATCCTCAATTAGTATTAGCAAAGGTAACAACATTCAAACTGGTAGCAGTAGGAGAAAATACAAGATCAAAATCAATGGTGGAGGCCAAGTATCGAAGAATTCTTTTGAATGCTATAAAGTGAGACTCTCGAGGGGCATTCATAAACTGAACAACTTGTCAACACTGTATGTAACACCCCAACCCGGATACGAGTCCGAGATGTCACATTAACTTTTTAAAACGATATTCTTCCAAAATAACAGAACATTTGAACTCATTTTAAGAAAATACGATGATATATTATTGAATTATACTTTATTATAAAGATCTAAAAAAATATGTATCTATGAACAGTACTATACGATATGAACAATACCATGAACATTACCATGAACAGTGCCGTGAACAGTGCTACAGTGCATCGATGCACATAAATTTCGAATGCAAATTGTGCATCGATGCACTGCTACAGTGAATCGATGCATTGCTACAGTACTGCTACATCGATTTTCGTAAAATGTACATAAAACTCGTAAAAATTTAACCATTCATTACTATGCATTTAATTTACATAAATATGTTTAAAACATTACAAAACTCGATAAGAGCATAAATACTTAATTTACCGACTTTGTTTACATGCCAATCTATTTATCACATAATAATACATACTGTGTAATTTACTTCTGATCTGATCTTTGAGCAGAGATATGTTGTTACTTTGAACTTAGCTTTGATCCTTCTGCTTTTCAGTACCTACGTGTAAATCACTTACACGCTAAGTCATAGACTTAGTGAGGCATAAACATAATAATAATGCATTTCTCATAAATATAAACATGCAATCTATGAATTCAATCATATCACATATGATTCAGCATACATAATAACATATGATAATACAAACACTTTTAATACCTTTTTATTGTATAAGTATATACCGAACATTTCTATACATACCATGGAACATATATACTATTTCACAACAAAACATACATAGTATCATATCAATTTATTTATTTACTCTCTTTAAAGACCATGTATTAGCCCATGTATACTTTTGAGAACTTAAGGTATGTGAGTACATTGAGGTTGTGCACAATTATGCTGTCACCACAACTCGTATAAATGTCCCGAAGGATTAGTCCATAGATTCCAAAGAACCTAGGTAAACAATCCATATGTCCCGAAGAACATAAGTAAACAATCCATATGTCCCGAAGAACATAGGTAAACCCTCGACCCTTGGCATGCCAACTATACCCCTAGCTCTCATATCACATAACATGGGCATTATAATTTATAACAGTTCATATTACTTATTCATATCCTTTCTCTTATAAACAAATATATTTTCTTTTCAGTCACGTATCACATATACGTATAATCATTGATCTTATAATGACATGTTCCTTCTCTTTTGTAACATACCACATGTATGTGTAAACATATATCTAATATCATATAACACGTATCACAAATGCATGTATTCACATAGATCATTTCATATGACTTTATCATTTCTCATTTGTTCATGTACCCTTGCATGTCATATCAAGTAACATATATCATATGTTGCATTTCCACGTAAGCATGTAAATCATGTAACATATAATAACATACATTCATTTCTATGTACTAATGCACACATAGTAATCACATAACATTTTATAAGTTACTTCTTACCATAGTAACTCTATCATTGGCTCATCGCAAGCCAATATTTGATCAATCACATAAGTACAATTTAAATTGCACTTACCTATATTTCCTTGCCTTTCCCTCGATCAATCTTACTTGTCACTTGTTCCAGAACTTGTTTAGGCTCAATATCTACATAAATATAATTTTCAAGACAATTATAAGAAGTCTAAACCTTATAATTTGATACTAATAACTTGAGCTAACTTAATGAACCCAAAAATTAAGTTTTCCTTTAGGGGTGTACCGATGCACTATAGATGCATCGGTACACAAATTAGGTTCGAAATTCCCATGCATCGATGCACCTTCAAAAATTATCTTAGTGCATCGGTACACACTCATAATGCATCGATGCACCAACCCAGAATAGACTATTTCATCCAAAAATTCCATAACTTTCCATTAAATTTCCTCATATAAAACTCCTTTTATACCACTAAATTCAACTACAATCATTTTAACTAACTTTTATCATTCCAATACCTTATTATCTCTCGTATCTCATCCAAATTCTTAAAGCTAAGAATCATACCAAAATTTCCATGTTATCCAAACTTAATTCTAACACTTCTATCTTCTTATTCTCATAGATGACAAGTCAAATTCATCCTCCAAATTCATTTAAACCTTCTTATTCAAAATTCCACTTAAAAACCCATTTTTAATCTATCATAACTCCTTTATCTTTTGATTTTAAGATAACTTAAGCTTTCTTTAAGCTTAGTTATCATCTAATGATCAAAACCTATGCTTAAAATCAACAAACAATCAAGAAATCAGAGAACTCACATTTGCTTTGAGTGTCTCACGTTGGAGAAGAAGAAGAATCAAGAATGAAGAGTTAAGAGATTTCTAGAGAAATCTCTCAACCTTATCCCCATATATATAATTATTTTATTCATTTCCAAGTCAAAAGACCATTTTGCCCTTTAATTTCTTTAATAATTACTAACAACTTTTAGGATTTATTTCCAAATAAATCATTGAACTATTGAACTATTCTGCTTTAATCACCATATTCTAAAATTTTACAATTTAGTCACTAACCCGTAGTTTGGGATGTTACACTGTAAACCACATCAGGTCTCGTGTGACAAATATAGAGAATAGATTCAACAATGTTACAATACTCAGTTGCATTTTGGAGAAGAACACCCTCCTCGTGAGAAAGTTTGGAAGACATAACCATTGGAGTAGTACAACTAGTAGCATTCTTCATACATATCTTTTCTAAGAGTTCAAGAATGAATTTCTTTTGATCAAAGAAACAACACCATGAGAATGTTTGACCTCGATACCTAAAAAATAACTCAACTCACCAAGGTCTTTCAGAGAAAACATATCTTATAACATGAACACAACTTTATCAAAGGTAGTAGATGAGTGACCTATGATCACTATATCATCAACATAAACCATAATGTAGATGGAACCTTGTTCAGAACAGTTATGAAACAAAGATGGATACAAAACCTAACTGCAACATATTTTCTTTCAATTTGTTATGATAATTCCGTGGCACTTGGAGAATACCATAGAGTGCCTTCTGGAGTTTACAGACAAGCAGAGTACCATGTTCATCATATTGTTCAAACCCCAGGGGCTGCTGCATATAGACATCTTACATCAAGTCCCTATAGAGAAAGACATTGTTAATGTCAACATGCATGAGGACCCAACCATTGAAGACAACAATCAAAATGATAATGTTAAAAGTTGAAAAACGTATAACAGGACTGTATGTATATTTGAAGTTAAAACCAGGGATTTGAGAAAAATCCGTGGCAAATAACCATGCTTTGTAACGCTTCACTGTTCCATCCAGATTGTTCTTTATTTTAAAAAGCCATTTACACCCTATCGGTGTGTGTTCCTCAGGGAGTCGAACCAGAGACCATGTGTTATTTTTATCAAGACATCATACTAGTCTTGAGCAGTCTTTTTCTAGTGAACTGACTAAAAAGCTTATTAAATCGAAATGGGAACCTCATTTTCTAGAGCGCCTGAGTGCACTTTTGGTTTAAATAACCCCACAACGACTTCGCGTCATCATGGGATAAACCCATTGAGGAGGCCCAGTTACAACATCAGGAATAAACGCAGCTGTATCACGTGTTGTATCCATATCATCCGGGATAATAGTCACCAACTAAATCATCAAGACTAGTGTAACACCCATAGACCGGTGCAGGTGACTCGATCCAATCCTAGGTGTCACATTAGGGCCACATGAGCGACCCACGGTAAAAATCATAGAAAATTTAAAATTTATATTAAAACGGGTAAAATCATAAAACAATTTATAAATAATACAAGTTCAGAAAACCATTCATATATTATAAATAGGATTAAATCATACAAGTAAACATAATACAACCTACATGTCCCCTAATCACATACACCGTACTCCGCAAGCAACACTGATGGAACTCCTTTACTGACGTTGATAGCTGCATTGGTT